ACGTAACTTTAACACGACACATGCAAGTTTAAACTGTAACATTGTAATTATAGAATATATCAGATGTATCACAAGAAATATACTGGATTCCCTTTATTATCTCCATACTTGTTGATGAAAAAGAAGCAACTAACAGAACAACATGACACATTCGTTTCTGCACCACAAAGTCGTTGCGACGTCAAACAAATGTATTAATTTAAAAAACTCTCATGAACATCTTGTGGCCCAAATTATTCACACACATCATAAAAAATGACTAGAAATGTTTCCTCTGATTGAAAAGCTGGTCATTAATTTGAAAAAGGGTTTCAGCATCCAATTTTTAAGTGAAATGTAAATAAAAATAATTCCTCCCCAATACTGATACGCCTTCCACATCATTTTCTTTTTAGAGATGTATGTTGCATTTTTTTTATCACAAACTTCTTGATTGATCAGCAATAAATGTTAACTCTAAATTAAAATTAAGAGTTAATTTAGAGTAGTATGAATAATTTTGTAACAAAATAAAAGCTTCAAACTGAGCAAATCCTGAATTCTAATGCATTAGCTATTTTTTTGAACAGAAAATCTTTTACATGATTTTCTAAGCATATAGCGAATTCATGAATGGCCAATGTTGATATAATGCAGCATAAAATAGGTAGTCCGTCCTTTCTTCTTCTTCTTCTTCTTCTTCTTCTTCTTCTTCTTCTTCTTCTGTGCCGTCTCCCCTCCGTCGAGGAAAGGAAAAAGAAATGAGTGGAGGCCTCCTGGGAGCCAGAGCTCAGCAGTAGCTGTGTGGCATTAAATTTTTACAAGCAGGAAGGGGCGATGCGGTTTATGGGCACCACAAATCTGGGCTTTTACCCTCAATGAAAGCCCACAGTAAATATCACCTTTATTCCTCTTAAAGAGCCCCACAGACTGTAAATACTGATGACTTTGAAGGCCAAGAGGTGCAAGAAAAAATGTGTGGATGTGTAAGAAAAAAAAAAAAAGGCTGCTTACTCTGAAGAACAATCACCTCCGGTGTTGTTTGTAAAATCGAAAAGTCTCTTTTTAGGATAAAGGAAATACAAGTTAAAGATTGTCATTCTATGCTGCTTCTCCCTCCTCTCCCCCCCATATAAACAAATGTTTTTCTTTGGAGTTTGTACTGATTGCCTGATAAGAGAGACACATTTCTGTTCTACGTAAAGCCTTTCGTTTTCTGTAATACACAGAGACCAAGCATCGATTTAAGACATTACACAATATTTCCAAACCTTGCCATGGAAGTCGCTGCTGCAGCAGCCTCACGTTTCTTCTTATTAAGTAGCGTCTGCTGTTGAAGCCTGATGCGTGTGCAGGCAGCTGAGCAGCTTCATCCACCCTCCACCCTTGGCTGTGATTTGACCCGAAGCTGAATGTCACGCATCATAAAGCAGACCTGGATGAAGGAGTAGTAGGGGGTCTGTGTGAAAGTGTGTGTATGACATGGCTATGTGCACTTAAAGGTAGTGAATATTTTTACAAGATTTTAATGCGCCACATATTCTGCGTGTGTTACATGCAGAAGCCAGGGGATGTGCACAGATATTTACTTGTTAATGCCCCCATGGATGATGCTGCATTATACTGTAATTTATAATTGCAAATGTATAAACTTTAACATTTTGCTGCATTCGTCTCACCTTCACTTATGGTTAGGCCTGTAACAAATTTTGCTGGATGATAAATTGTTCTTGACATTATTGCTATTTTGAGACAATTTTCGAATATAATAATAATAATTAATAATGTGCCTACTGTATTCTCTGATCTTCATGGTTATGTTTGCTCACTACATTTCTCTATTGAACCCTAGCTGGATTTATTCTGTGAATAAATTACGCACGAGTGAATTTACTAACTAGGTGACTTCTGACAGCAGTTTTACTTGATTTTTATTTAGAGATATTAGAGTAAATTGTAGTAGACTAAATACGAATACAATGGATAGTTTGCACCCCAAACTATTCAGATTTGTACACATATCGCTCGCGATCCACAATAACACAGTACTTTGTAATCCATAGATGTTTGTTATTGCAACGTGAAAAGAAATCTGGGCAGACATTTAGAAGAGATGAATACTTTTTCAAGGCCCTGCATCTGTAAATCAACTTTTTCCATGATATCTCAGAACTGAGCGGGGGTATGTCGCTACCGCCATGTGTTATTTCATTCTCTATAAATGCCACCTCAAGTTTTAATCAGGTCAGCCAAGTTTCTCAGCCAGTCGGTCCTGTCCCTTCAGCTGAGTTTTTCCTCTGTCCTTGGATGTTTCCTGTATATAAACAGGCTGCGCAGCAGAACTGCTCCTAACAATGCAAAGCCAGAGTGGACTTTTCGCTTGAATGTTTATAGGAAAAACAGTCATATTTCGGATCCAGGACCAGCCTGTGGCTTGGTGTGTGGACGTTTTCCTGCAGTAAAGCTGTTAAATCCATGCGCTCTCTGCTGCTGAGGATGCTGAAAGGTCACTCGGTCTTCAGGGAGGCAGGACCAGCACTTGACCCTTGGTTTTATTGCCGATGAACATTTAGCCATGCAAGCAGGAACATGACTGACAGCACGGACCCACACAACTACAGTAAACTCCCCATTTCCACATCAGCCGACAGCCAGTGAACGGCCCTTCCTATTGGAGAGGAAGGAACCATAAACTAGGGAAACACCTGACTGTATCCGACGCTTACAGCCGGCCCTTTCACCCCTGCGCAGCACTCTCTGCCTCACGCTGTCTCACCTTCGGCTTCCTGCCTCCTATAGCGTGGACTCAGTCACACAAAGGACACCCAGATTGTGCTGAAGGTGGACTCGGTTCGATTGGGGGTAAAAATGTCAACTTTTGTTACACTTTGGTTTGCTTTCACACGTTTCAAATGTTTTTGGTGAAAAGTCGAAAGCGAGACAGCCAGACACATGCCTTGGTTGCATGTACCCAGAATGCCTTGCGCTATCGTCGGCTCCCTGCCTTGGGAGCAGCCTCTAGACCAGTTAGCATTCACATAAGCATTTGAACCGCGCCATAGTTCACTTCAACCAAACCAGAATTTTCATTTTCGGTTCGCATCAGAGTTTGATTGTGCATTTATGGCTCCCTTAATGAGCTGGACTTTCTAGCTAGAGCTTGATTAAAGCAAACAGGGCTGGTATGAATGCACTGTAAAAATACAATTTAAAAAAAAGGAAAAGAAGGAAAAACCTCATCCAGATGACACGGTACAAGCGACATGCAGGGTCTTTATTCTTACAGTCTCGGATGAACAGTTATAAATCCCGCTTCATAAGACGAGCTAAAACTCTTGGGTCTGGGCAGAACCGTGAGAAGTGACATCCAACTGATGATGAAATCTGAACGCAACCGGCTCTGGTGCATTTAAATTGCAAATCTTCAGTGAGTAGCTGAGTAGCCTTGTCCATTGACATCAAACACATAAACTTTGACTCATTTATGCGTGTGTCACTGTTTTTTTTCCAAATGCCACTGCTCATGAATGATGGACACTGAGACATAAAGAACCAAAATCAATGACCCTTCCATAGCTGAAGCGTGTTTGTTTACACTGTCTGCCTGTGCGTGCGAACTTGTGTGTATGCATGCGTGTGTGTGTGTGCGTGTGTGTCTGTGTCTCCTTGCAACTCCAGCTGACCAAACAAGGCTGGCAAGTTGGTGAGCTGAGTGGCTGGGTGGCTGCGACTGAGTGACAAATCTCAGACTGGCCTCTGAGTCATGCCTCCTCTGACAGACACACTCAGGGGAAAACCTCAGAGGATAAAAATAAAAAAAAGGCCACCTCCTTACATGGAGAAGTTATATATTTTGTTCTAGTTTTTAAAAAAATGTAAACAAAAAACATTTTACATCAAACTTTTCATGCACAGAATTTGTATCGCCCTATGATGGATTATCGACTTGTCTGCAGTCGACCTTGCAACTTGAACAGCGACTGCTTTCGAACAGTCCCCATCTGACAAACTGAGGAATCTTTTAATTTTAATTAAATTTTTTATTATTTTTTTTGTGTGTGAATTTTTTGTGTGCCGCTACGAGTCTTGTCCAGATTTGCCTTGCTAAGGAAATTTTAATCCGAATTATATTTTCTGAAATAAAGATTAAGTAAAAATAATAATTAAGCAACTAAAAAGTTAAATAATCAGTTGTAATTAATGTCATCTAATAAGCAAAACCCTTTAGGATGAAATTGAAGACAAATAATGAGCTCCAACGTCTCTATCCTGGATGTGAATCAGCGCCATCATCACAGAAGGTCTCTTTTTGTTTTTGGTCATTTTGTTTTTGCTCCCTGTTCTCCCTTTTAGATCTTTATGATGAAATCATAAACCTAGCAATCAAATCAACAGGAAAGAAGACAGAAAAGCCGGAGAGGCAGCCCTCGGAAAGTCTGTGTCACTATCTTGACTTCAGCGCGGCTCCCGCTGCCAACAATGACCTCTTCAACTCCAAAAACCAAAAAAAATACAACAAAAAACCCCCCGCACCTGCCCCGCGCGACGACTGCAGAACGGAACCGAGGCGATGAACAGCAAACTGCATGGCAGGAGAGTCCATGAACGCACAGTTGTCACCATCTCGCCTTTTGCACGTTTTGCCAAATATTGGCTGACACCGGAAAATTCAATTAGGCCCGGGTTGAAATGCCTCATCCAGCGGACGAGTGTGAAGCACGCACGGTGCAAAAACGCACGTAATGAGCTCTGGTTCACTCCCACACAGGCTCCTCCACCCAGAGCATTACACGAGTCCACTTGTGTTTTTCTTCTGCTCTCCGGCCGGGAGGGTGATGTTTGTTTTCACTCCGCTTAATTGTGTTTTACGTCACCATTCACCGAGGGAGGAGTTTTTTTTTAATTCTGTTTTGCTGTCTTTATGCGATATGTGGGGAAAAAAAGGATAATAAAATCGTGTTGTGGGTTTAGCTGAAGATCTTGAGGATGTTTCCTAGTGATTTCTGTTCTTTCCGTTCCAGATTACAACAGCAGCAATCAGAAGACGGCGTGCAAAAGACACGAGCTGTACGTCAGCTTCAGAGAGCTGGGCTGGCAGGTACTTTGACTTTTTAAGCATTTTTAATGAAGTCCTGCTGTTAACTTGTTTTTAATGAGTCAAGTCTTTACATGCTGTTAATTAAGCTCAAAGGTTATTCATTCGTCTTTATTGGGAAGAATGAAAGATGTTTTCCTTTTTTTTTTAAACTCAGCAAGTAAATCTTAGAAAAATCTGATGTATCACTAAACATATTTTAGTTTTTCTGTAATAATGAAAACGTCATCGACAAAAATCTCTTTTGGCTATTATAAAGATAAAATTGGACAACCAGGTAATGTCTCGTTTTATTTATTTTTATTTTGCTTTGTTAGAAGTGTAAAATAAGTTCTTGACAATTGTTTCTTTACTTATATCAGTTTATTTTTTGTCAGGGAGTGAAATAGCAATGCCGAGAGTTAGTTTCATGAACCACCACTGAATATGAAGCAACATATAATAATACCTGTGCAACTTTTTGTCAGAATGTTATTTTTCATGAATTTCTATACATTGTTGTAGTGTCTGAGCAGTTAATGGGTTTAGAAGGAAACTGCTTTTCCACATTGGGCCATGTTTCTTTCCTCCGGTTATCATTGTGTCATGTGTGATAAAACAGCAAAAAGAAGACGACATATTTAATATGCTCTTAATACGAGGACCTAATAAGCCAAAACTTTGTGAATTGTCCTTTTTTGTGAAGCTGTGTGGTCACATTGTTCAATAAACGTCCAGTTAAGTCATTTCATTCTTTCCAAAGATGCTAAAACAAATTTTGTTTTTAGGATTTTTCAATAAATTCATTCATTCCAAGACAAACAAACAATTGGATGAATTATGTGCAACTGAATGTGAAAAAATGTAGAACATTGAAAAAGCTTCTAATAAGCCTAGGCTTATTAGACTTCATACAACTATCACAGATGAGGCAACTTAAGTCACAAAGACAGAAATAAGTTGCTGCTGCTGGTGTGGGAGGCGTTTTCGTCTGCAGGCCGCTCTCACAAAACCAAAATGTAAAGGCAGATCAAACCAGCTGGAGAGGCAGATACACACAGCCGAGTGGGAGCGGACCCAAAGGTCAGCCCTCAGGTGTGTGAGTGTGTGTGTGTGTGTGTGTGTGTGTGGGAGTTCAGAGAGGAACAGTGGAAGAAAAGGCCAGAGATCCATTCATCTTTTTCAAACACGCCAATAGCTGTTGACACACCACTGACATCTAGAGGAATAACGCAAGCAATTACTCACCTGAGTGCGCACTCGCACATTACATCAACAACTTAACACATCCCTGATTAATCTCAGTCTTGTTTCAGAACAGAGGAAAAGACTCGCGTCGCCATAAGATAGAAGGGAAAAGAGAGATGCAAGAAGAGAAACGACGTGGTGGAGAGCTAAAAACATGAAAACAAGTCGGGATGAGGTTAAAACACGCTGATAACTCATCAGGCGGAAACGGTGAAGCGCAGACAGGAAGGAAGAAAGGGGAGAAATATTGCTTCCTCGAGTAATATGGTAGATACCGACAGGAATTTGTCCTCAGAGACGTAAACTTTTAGAAGACTGCAGAAACTTTTGCTTTTGCATTTTTAAGGCCTCCCACCAGTCAAATAGCTTTAAAGCAAACGTTGAGGATTCTTTATCAAATCGCTGCCCAGAGCTAGTAGAGACAGATGTGCCACATGGAAATGAAGTTCATATGCGTCTCTTCAGGACTGGATCATCGCCCCCGAAGGCTACGCCGCCAACTACTGTGATGGAGAATGTTCCTTCCCGCTGAATGGACACATGAATGCCACCAACCACGCCATCGTGCAAACGCTGGTAGGACTGCCTCACTCTGCTTCATGCATATGTACATTTGTGTATTTCAGATGAAATCCATGCTTTGTTGTCATGTTTTCCATAAAATTGAAAACACGTGACCGATATGTTCAAATCTGGTCTCAGATTTGCAATTGGATCGAGGTCTGGACTTTGACTATTCCCCTCTAAAACCATCCTTTTTGTCAACAACACCGATGTCGATATGTCTTGCAACACAACCCACGTGTAGTAAAGCTTAGAGTCTTTCATTTGGTAAATGAAATCATCACTGGCTTTCAGATCTTTGTCTGATGTTAAAATTAGCTGTCTGTCACAGAACACGGTCATATGAATTTGCTTAGGCGCCTCGTGAAACCATCTACATGTGAGTTTCAGGATCTGCTCCAATAGAAACGGTGTTGTCACTGCAGCGTTCCCCGTATCTCCAGGTGCACCTGATGAACCCGGAGAATGTACCGAAGCCTTGCTGCGCCCCCACCAAGCTCCACGCCATCTCCGTCCTCTTCTTCGACGACAACTCCAACGTCATCCTGAAGAAGTACAAGAACATGGTGGTACGCGCCTGTGGCTGCCACTGACGCCGGTGACGACTGGTTGTAACGCCGACGGACAAGGCTGAACACAGTTGAACTCCAGTTGTTTGCTTTTTTTCCCTCCCGCAGCCTGGAAGTTAGCAGCATCTAGTTCAATAGTCACAAACCCAAACTATTAATATGTCGACAGCAAGGACGGGGATCGACACCAGACTGAGAGTCATTGTTGGCGTCACACTCCAGACTTCACTTTTACAGACTTTGTGTGTCTAAGAAGAGTGTTTAGTTTGTATATTGTGTGTTTATTGAATCGTAAGAAGAGTCAAAACTCGCTGGGAGGCCGTAAGCGATCTGTCGATGGACCAGTCAGACTGCTGCTTTCATTTCCCATCTCCTCTCCGATGGAAACCGCAGCGGATCAAATCTGAGGAGGCGTACGAAAAATCAGTTTCCCCGCGACTGACCCAAACACCTGCTGAGCCGGCGCAAAGCCCGCATCATCGGGACGAGAATAAACAAGGCCAGTTGCGACTTTTACAGCAAACGCTAACTGATGCATCAGTCAGTACATTCGTATTTATCCTTTTTTTTTTTTCCTACTGTATTTTCCTCTCAAGCCATATTTACTTTCCCCAAAATATAATTTGGACTCAACCGAAGTGACCACATTCTGTTTTAGCAGCACACTCCTCCAAATAATGCTCTCTGTGTCAATATTTGCCAGGCCCAGGCTGACATGCAGTTCTCCGGGGCCGGTTTAACCCGATCCATGTTGTGGCCAGACTCCGTGTTTTTTCTCCAAAAAGGACAGAAATTCAGCCCCTTTCGCCCTCCGACATGCCACAAAATGGCCATTTCTGTTTAGCTGCACTCGCAAAGCTCACAAACACGTCTCGCCCCTTTACAAGGGATTGTGGAAAAACATTTGCAGAGACCAAAACGGTCCGTATGACGACTTCTTTTTCTTCTGCAACCCTGAGAGCGACATTGTGCTCAGATTTAGCTGGAGCGTCTTCCCATCTGAGCGCATCACTGTGAGCCTTGAATAACGTGGAATATTTAAGAGAACATATTTGAACGAGAGAGAAGAAAAAGAAACCTGTATCCGTATCAATCAAAATACCTTTTGTGCCTAACCGATCCTAAATATTATATACCTCTGGAAAGCTGCTGTTTACATTTGTGATCCTGTTAAGACTGTTTTTTTTTCTTTTCCCTGTAAATACGTGTACATTTTCAGCTTATTTATTGCACCTTTTATTGAAAAAGAAAATGCCACATTAAAGCGAGAAATAAAAATACCAAAAATACAAACATGTTTTTGGCAAAATTTATTATGAAATCTTATGTTACAACTTTCCACTTTTTTTTTTTGTACAAAACTTGTGGGTAACATTTAAAAACTAAATGTATAGTTGTGTTGCTGGACCTCTTTAGACCATGTGTTGCTCAAAAACCAAACTGATAAAACTGTTGCCTCTGCCCATTTGTGAACCTGGGTTGGACAACAAAAGCAGTTTTTCACATGGCCAGTCAACTATAAACACCGAACGCAGGCAGGCTGGACGATCCATAAAAAATCTTTGAAATTCTCTAAACCCAGAAAGAGTTTTTTTTTTGAAAAAATAAATTCAGGTTCTTATGTTATTGTCATTTGATAAACTATTCATATTTATACCAGGGACATTCAATGATGCTTCAATCAATGCAATAATCAGCGATAAATGAATGCAAGTGGTCCTGATTCACTGATCTTGATAAAAAAACAAACTGCATTTGTTTTTTGTTTTTTTTAAAAAAAGCAGCAAACTAAAATAGGTGTGAAATTGACTCAAAACTTCAAAAGCTAAAAAAAAAGAAAAGATGTCACATATACAGCTTCACATGAACTGAAGGTGACTGATCATTATTGGAGCGTTTTGTGTTTAGTGAAGTGTAAACAATCTGGTCCACGGCTCAGCTTACCGTGTCAACTACAATCTTGTGTGAGTGACATTGTTCTGGTCCGCTTATATTCCCTGAGAGTTACATCAGATAGGCTATCAGCAGATATACATGATGTACCTTTAAAATAACCCTCAACCTCACAGAGACGTCACAACTTTTACAACTTAAGAGTCACAGCATCATAACAGAGGTTTATAATTTAAGTAGGAAGGGGAGGGAACCCACAGGAGTCAGAAAACCAAAAAAAAAAAAAAAAAAAAAATTTTATGAAAGTCTTGGTACAGTTGCCTGTGTTTCTGGTTATTATTGGACCAGTGCTTGCAGAGGTTTACAAATGTGAGATTCATAAAAAAATACATTTCCAACACATTTATTCTGTCTGTAAATACAATCCCAACCCCCCCCACAAAAAACAGAGACCCAGATGATATCAGTCTGTCGCTGGCTTAACTCCGTCCTGAAGGAAATCCGACTTGGCTGCTGCAGGACAGAGACTCTGGTCCAGCTGGCCAGATAACAGGAGATTCCAGGTAGCGAGGTGTTGCTTCCTACAGCTCGTCTCTCGCCTGCCTCATCACGAAGTTGTGCAGGCTCTCCAGGTCCCGCCCCCCGTGATGCTCATCACCCTGCGCCCCAGCTCTGAAGATGATCAACGTTGGGTAACCTCGCACCTGAGAGAAAAGTGAAAATAAAAAGATCAAGACTACGTCAGGTTTGATCGGCCTTAACAGCCAGTTTGAGTGAAGCTTAAGCTGCAGAGTTACTCGAGTTAAACCTACAGAGTACTTGTTGCACAGCGTGCGCTCGACGGTGCAGTCCACTTTGGCGATCTTGACATCAGTGAGACCGGGAAACTCCTTCTTGGAAAGGTCGTCCCAAGTTGGAGCGAGATTCTTGCAGTGACCACACCTGGTCACAGCAGGAAGATGAGAGTTGTGCCATTTTAATCAAGAACTGACATGTATTGGGAACTTAGAATCCCTTTGTAAAAAATTATTCAGCATTATATTTACTTGTCATTTTAAAACTATGCAAAAAAAATACAAAGTGTTTATATAAATTATTCATCAGTTTTTCTTATTTATTTGGGATTTTGTGAGGACAGAGTAGCACATACAAAAAAAATATTTGAAGTGTTTTGTGTGTATTCACCTCTGACACCCCCTAAATTAAACCCAACTAATTAAATTAATTAATTTTAAAGCAGAAGTGGAATAAGGTCATTAGACGGGACCAAAACTGAACTTTGTGGCCTTTGTGCACAGCAGCAATAAAAATATCTAGCAACTTCAGAATCTGCTTACGATGCAATTAGAAATTGATTATATTGTCATGTAGTAGTACTATTAAAATATTTGTTCCTACAGAGGTGATCTTACCACGGAGCGTAGAATTTGACAAAGGTGAAGCCCTTGGCTACCGTTTCGTCAAAGTTGCTCTCAGTGAGGATCAACACGTTGGACTGCAAACACAGAGTAGCATACTTAAAACTTTATGGGTCTAAAGAAAATTCATTATGATCACTGGTAGTTGTAACTCAGACTTTTACGCAAGCAAACACCTTATGCTTTTGTTAAGTTTCTAGCATTAGTAGTAGATGGTAGTATGGAAAAAACAAACCTGGTGAAGAATCTTTACTAGTTAACTGTCAACTAAAGAAATTATCAAACTTGATAACGTTAACTTACCATTTCTTTAATAGTCAACTGGAACACGCTTTGTGATATCAATTTACTTTCAACAATGTGTGCTAAAATGCCACTGTGTCATTTGAAACGATGTTTGTAAAGAGCCTCAAGGCGTTTTTGTTGTGCTTATATAAATGGGACAATTCTTATAAGCAAAGTGAACTGAGCTGCTGTTTTGATACCATGAGATTTCTTTACAAGATACGGTCACACCCAAAGAAATTCAGAACAGAACACTGAAGTATTCCTTTCTATACGTGGTATGCACGCCTGCTGTACCTCCTCGTCTGCTGGCGCATCAGTGGGAATCTCGTTTGCTTTCTGCTCCTCGGCTGGTTCCTCCTTCTGCTCTGCAGAGAGCGCAGCCTTCAGCTGGTTGTCTGCAAATTCTTTGAACGAGTCCAGGTCTCTCTTCCCTTTGTATTGTTCTATCTTAATAAAAACAAGTAAGAGCAGGAGAATTATCACACGGACACACACCAGACTGGGTCATCTGTCAACACTGCAGCCGGCTTCCAAACCTTTTGTCCATTGTGGAAGAACAGCAGTGTTGGGTATCCTCTGACACCGTTCTCAGAGCACACCTCGTAGTGCTGCGTGCAGTCCACCTGGGTCACAGGCAAATTACAGGAGTGACATCACACCAAACACTGGCACCTGCATTGTTTCTGACCCTCCCATGGAAACGAGCAGCACCTCATGTGATTAACAACCTGTTCCGTCACACAAATCAACTGACTGTGCAAAGGGACTTTGATATAAGGACTGGAGATAACGCACAACTACAACCTGCAACATCGCTAGAAGTTGAACCTTTAAAGCAAAACATTAAGCTTATAAAGTGTGGATATCTTCGAAGACTGTTTTCGACAGTGATGACACCCTCAGCCCACCTTTCCTATCTTTACGTCGTCAGAGTGCTCAAAGCTGGAGGCCAGCTGGTCCCAGGTCGGCGCCATGGCCTTGCAGTGGCCGCACCAGGGTGCAAAGAACTTAATAAAATGAGCACCTGGAAACGAAACACAGAAGCCATTGCAAGAAATGAATATAAATTTAAAAAAAAAAGAAGTTGCCGTGATTCAAGATTTATACTTTTAGTAATGTAAACTCATTTCTTTATGCCATAGCATTGCCTGCTGTAAAAAGCTTACCCAGCCTTTCAGGGCTTATACAACCAGGTATGCTACTTTATAGCTCAAATTATTGCTTTGCTGTTGCCAGGATGCAGAACTACAAGTAATAACCAAACGGTAAAAGGCTCCCGTGTCATATCCAAACAGGAAATCATTTGTTTTTATTTTTAATGACGATTCTTGAGCTTCGCTGGAGCTTAGGAACCGTCCTCTCATTGAGTTTGTTATTGTCCAGTACTAAAACATGAGGTGACGTTATATCAAGTCTGTTTTTTTTTCATTTTTTTTTTTTTTTATCATTAGTTTATTCTGATATTCAAAGCCAAGCAATAAGCCATTTTAGTGACTTAATCACAGACGTAGAATCACATCATAGCATGAACGAAAACTGAAAAAGCATTCAAATATGGAACAAGAGTGAAACTATCACAGCCGGATACAGCTGCAATAAAAGAACATTTAATTACCCAGTAACTCGTGAGACAACTGAAGCTTCACATTTACCTTTGGATATGTGTTCCTTAAAGTTAGCTGCAGTGAGCTCATACATGCCCTGTTTGGGCTCTGGGGCTTTAGGGGGTTCCTGCTCACTTACTGGTTCCTGGAGAGCAGAAGTGGACAGAAATTTTAATTCACAAAACGCTGCTTTGAGGCCGATTACTGAGTGACAGAAACTCACTGAAGGCTCCTCCTGGAGCGTCTTCAGCATCCACGTCTCCAAAGACTGCAGATCTCTTGGTCCCTGGTACTTCACTGCTTCTTGGTCTGGCTTAAACAACTTTAGTCTGCACGCGAAAGAACAACACACAATTCAAATGGGTAAAATTGGTTATTAAACCGAACAGTCAATAATTATTCAGAGTCGGTTGTGCTTCTGCTGCGTTCGCAGGTGCAGAGGGCCGACAGCAGCAAGATTAGGGTTTAGACGAAGATTTCTGACAGAATATTTAACTATATTTGGGTCAATGTGTCACCAATTTCAATGATTAACGGAAAGCAAGTTTATTTCTAAGTTGTAAGAGGTGTGTTAACATAAGTGCTCCAGTGAGTGTAACCACTTCACAGTCAGATCTTATGAGTCACATTTTCAGCCATGAATTGAAAAATTTGCAAGATTCACTTCTGATATGAATGAATGCTGAAATACATTATAGTTTTGAATAATTTGCATATTGTTCAGAGTTCTTTTTTCAAGCAGACAAACTCTCCTGTCTATGCATCTCTCTGTGAGGTTTATGGTAGATGCTTCTCTCACTTACGTAGGGTATCCTCGGACGCCGTGCTCGCTGGAACAGAACTTGGTGTTCTGGACGCAGTCCACTTTCACCACATATACAGGAGGATCATCCATGCCATTGTATTTGTCTGCCAGTTCATTCCATGCAGGCTGAAGTCTCTGGCAATGACCGCACCTGGACATAAAGTGATAAAAATGGGTTTTTGGACACGTTTACATTCCAGGTTTTATGTTGCTAAAATGTTTATAACTCACGTGACTAGCTGAAAAACTTATTCTGGTTTTGTTGGAAAGATGTGAAACTTGGGAAAACTACGGAAATATCTGAGTCAAAAATCGGTATCGGCCGATATTCATGTCCTCCTTCAAGGCACTAAATGGCAGCAGAAGTATTTAAGTGCAGGATTTAAAGAATTCGACAGAGTTCCACCAAAATACCAGAGTAAAATCTGTGATTTTCATTTCATGAGATTCAATTTAACAATGTCTAGGAAACAAGGACAAGAGGAACTTTAAAAACGTGTTTGTTACATGTTATTTTCCAGGAAGACCAAAGAAAATGTCTTTTCATTTTGTACTTTCCCTTACATTACAGATAAGTTGAATAACATGAAAAGTTTTTTTCTTTTTCCTTTACTATATTCTGGTGCATGTTTGCTAAAACAATTTATTTGAATTTGATTTTTAATGGCAAAGAAAAACAATTAGCCATTTATTGATTTTCTGCTAATTTTAAACCTATGTGATCAGACCACATTTGCCGTCTTTTCTTAACTAGTCTTAAAAAGATAGTTTTTTCTTTATTGGTTTAACATCTTACAATTCATGTCTGTGGACGGTTGTGACACACAGGAAGGATTCCAGATGCAAACACAATATGGACCATGCAAAAGTTTTGTTTATTTTGTTTTACAACAGAAAATAATCCTAATAGATTTTTAGAATAGTCTCTTCCCCCACTTCCCCATCAAAAGAGAAAACTGTGAAGGTTAATGCTGCCGGGTTATATACCACAATATGCCTTACTATCCAACTGAAAGTCCCACTCAACTTTGAGAAATCACACCATTGACCACAATAAAAAACAAGGTACACTGTGAGGTGTTTGGTGATCCCTGAATGGGGCAACTCTCAATTACAGCAATTAAAAATATTGCATTGCATGTTTTAGATTTGCTGCCGTTTGGTTTAAATTGACAGCTGACCAACATTGTGCCATTACACTCTTAACTTGATGAAATTTAAGGACATAATTCATTTGAATCAGTTTATACAGAATTTCATGTCCAGATGAGATGACTGATAAAACAGTATTTTTTTTTTAGCAAAAACACAAAACAATTCACAAAAAGTTGAGCTCCTCATCTCCTTTTTCCCCTTTACACGACCAAGGGCCTCTGTAGGACCGCGGACCCCAGTTTTGAAACCAATCACGTAACAGTGAATCAGTGCGTGCCACGTAAGCAAAGCTACCTCAACATAACTTTGAAAACTTCCCCTACGTGGTGCAAAAACAGCAACTGTAGTACTTTTTTACCTGAAGTATGTGTGACGTTAGGCTACGGAGAGCTAACCGTAAATGTTTAAATCTGATAAGCCGCTATTTGGCTATGCTAATCTAGCCTAGCATCTAAGCTAACCGAGTCAACTGTTGTTTAGCGGGTAGCTTAGTAGCTTCCCAGCCAGTTTACCGGTAAACTGTTACCACAACAACGCGAGAGGTTTTCTGCACTTACAAGAGTTGGCAAAGAGAGACAGAGAGATGTCACAGCCGACTAGTCTGTCAAACGTCGCTCAAAGGCACTCGTTTTCTGCACTTACCAGGGGGCGTAAAACATGACAAAGTGGGGCGCAGTTGGCACCGCCTCGGTGAACATCTCTACAGTGTATGTGTGCTTGGCGTGCTCCTCTTCTTCTGCATCAGCGTCGCAAAACACAGGAGCAAATAGTAACGTAAAAGACAGTAAACACGGAACAAATGCTGTGCAAGTCAGTGCAGAGGCCATGGTGAATCTCGGCTGGAGGACGGTGTCCCTGCTGGTACAAAAGGAGCGACTTCCGCCAAAACACGCCCCTTTACAGACTCTCTTTAAAGGGGCAGTATTATGTAGAATCAACTTTTCATCATGTTATTAACTCATCAGAAACATACCGAGGAGTGTTGACTTGACTCTTTTATGGATAATCCTTTAATCTCCAGCCATCCAGGGTTACAAAAGTGATGTATTTTCCATTCGGCTCTCAGAGCTGCAGTCTCCAAGCCGTGCTTCTGCCTCACAGAGCTCTGCTCGCTTACGACTCCTCCGCTGAGCTCCTTCAGACTAGCAACAGCAGCTCTTAGCAGGTGGAACTGCAGCCACTGAGCTCATTATACTAGCTACTTCTCAGTGCAACTAAAGCTTAATGGAGAAATACGTTGTTGTGATGATGTGCATTAAATTGCAAAGTAAATTTTTTGAAGTCATATATAATATATGCAGCATTTTTGCAACAACTGAAAGTAACATAGTTACTTGTTGTGCAATAAAATGACTCTATCTGCCCGGAAAACATAATACTGTTCCTTTAAATGCAACATTTACTCTAAACTTGTTCAATTAGAAGCAGCATTAACTTCTTCAACAATTTGAGCTACATAGCTTGCCTTTTGCATGAAACCATAACGGCCATCCTTCACCACTAAAGTGCTTGGCCTTCCACGGCTCTGTCACCAATCCCCATCTTCCCCCCCCACACACAATTCAGAAAGATTTTAATCAGGACCAATAAGTGTTGTCACAACTTGTGCTATGCTCAGGAATTTGTAATTTTTGTTGGAATTTTTGTGTTATAAAGCTAAAAGCCGAATAATCCAAGATATACAGCCTTATTCTTCATGGAGGCTCTAGGTTCACCTTCAGTTCGAAGAAGTTCTTGTATGGGAACAAAATATTCCTTGTATGGACGGCACACTGCAAAAGTCTTTAGCCACCTCTCCTTTCTCATATTAATCTTGCAGGGCCAGACTATGCTTGAAAATGTGCTCAGGATTTCCAAAGTCTTACAAAATCCTTTTTTTAAACATGAGTTGTTGTTTTTTCTCTTGCTTTTACTTAGAGACTTTAATCAGGACCAATAAATTTGCTTATAATTTAAGATGCATTTAGAAGTTTCCCCCCCTAAAGTAGTGTGTGGAAATGTCAAAAGTGGTTACTTGCAAATAGTCCTATAAATTCTTGCAGACTGCACATTGGCAGGCTCCTGAACTTTCCTTCTCGCCTAATCTTTCAAAAACAAATTGTCAACACTTAACGCCAGTGATGTAACTGGTGTAAACCTATTAGGGCAACAATAAACAGACGGTATACTGTGAAAATAAACAACGTTAGGTTTCTGTTTTACCTGTTCAAATGTGGCTCCCCCTGCTCTGGAGGAACATCACTGCCGCTTAGAATGACAGATGGGGCGTTAGTTTTCTGCACCAGCCGTCACATGCATGAGTCAGAGTTGCCTCCTCATCACTGCTACAAATGATGCTTTAAAATTACGGTGCGACTCATGGCAGCTGGAGCCTGGCGGAGTGGCGACAGTGCTTATAAATCATGCACCTTTTCCCACAGGGAAGTGTGTTTGTGTGTGTCTGAGCAAAGTACCTGCTGGCCTGTTGGACTGACAGCTCCTTGGAAAGTCCACACCTCTTTTAATGTAGTCATGATTTCATGAAACCAAAAAGGGAGAGGGAGATGGTGAGAGTGAGGGGAGCTGCAGGCTTCAAACTGAAAGTTTCTTTTTTTTTATGGCATTTTCTCATTCATTAACTTCTTGTGTCTTGGAGCAACAAGTGAAGTCTGGCGAGCTCTGAATTTATGTCCAGGCATAAATCCTTTATTTAAACTAATTTTTGGTTTGCTTATCTAAACAAAAAAGACTAAGCTATACAAAGCAGCTGCCATTTTAAAAAAGGTTATATCCTTTATATATATATATATATAAACATGCGCAAAATCACATGTTTTCATTTATTACATGCACAAGAACATACATATTTATACTAATCAACCTCAGACGTGCTGATGTTGGCTTATTTCCACACATTAAAACCAGCTCCACATTCTCTCTCACATGTTCCAAGCTGCAGGAGTGTGAGAGGTAGCTTCACAAGCTTGAAATACCTCAGAATGCCACAATGCCAGGAAGGTGCGCGGTGCAGGAAGTCCTCTGTGTTTATCTGGATTTTAATGTTATTAATAATGAAGTTCTTGTCGTGGTAGTTACCTCCACTGAAGAGCTTGCGCAAAATCTGCAGCTGGTCCATTTGGGTAACAGTCTTTAGACAAGACAAGCAGCAAAGTGGACATTTTAAGAAGAGCTTCAGATCATAAAAAAAAAAGATAGACGATACTTGGACAGTTAACACAAGACTCCTGAAAACTTGTTCCAATTGATACATTCTAATTTTTAATGAAGGTAATGACTGACGTTTTGGGCAATTGGCCATAAAGCCCCTTAAATCTCAACATTGCTGAATAAAACAAAGCAGAAGTTTATATCCAGTATTATAGAACAAATTTTAGAAGGTATGACAGAACAAGAATCAACACTGGGTATATTAATTGTCTTAAATTTTAGACATTTGCAAATTTTCACCTGAAAAAAATTCTCTACGGTATGTTCTTCAGCATACCACAGAGACATTGAAATGATTGCATCACTGAAAACAGTCTGACCAGCGACTCAACAGTTTTGTTTGCATTCGCAAATTTTCTGCACCTATTACATTGGAAGGATGGAAATGTCCCATGGACTTCTCTTTTCTTGTCCAACACAGTCCAGTCAGAGAACGTGTGGAAAACTCTGGGGCTGGAGTCTACATTAGAAACCAACTTTTGCACTGCAATCTTTTAAAAGAGACATTCCCATAACTCAGCTATGCCTAAGTGAATGCTGGCCGTGACTTTATTTTAACAGACCAGCCCCTAAATGCTGACACTCCATCCAACTTTGGTGAAAAAGCACGGCGTAATTCATTAAATGTCAAACTTCTTCACAATGTTTCAACACCTGCTTGTGTCATTAAGTGAGAATACAAACTGAGAGCCGCCTGGACTTTTTTTTGTGTTTTTTTTCAAACGACTTGGAAAAGTGTTTTTGACTGTTATGACTGCTTGCATATAATATTCCTGTCCTGATTTAGCCCTCTGCTCTGACACAAAGGTGCTGGTCCGACAGGAGCTCCCACCCACTTAAAGTTTATTTGGGCTCTTATATAAAAAATATTGCTTTGCCCCCCATTTGAGACAGACTGTTCCTTACATTCCAGTTTCAGACTGAACAGTAGAACACAAATATCACATGCACAGTCAATTGGAGGTTGAAATCATATGAGATTATACGCTCCTATCTTTTTACATGATAAATAACTCAAGTCCCCCAAAGTGGCTCTATTGTTCCCACAGCAAGCCCACATTCACACCCCACTATTTAGTCTCAGCATGTCTTATGGCTGTGGTAAGTACGGCCAAAGTGTCTCTGACATATTTTACATTTGACCTGCTACAGAGGAGGTCACATAGTTGCGGGTGTCTACTGGTTACCCATTGTTGGTAGCAAGGCACCATGCCAGGCCAACCATAGCTTGGTGTAATGGGAAAAGGAAAGACAAATGGACTCCAGGGAACTGGGGCCATTATGTTTGTTTTCTTCATGGCCTGAAATTCGAGGCTGAAGGTGCAGGAGCCGGCAGGCGGTAAACGGGGTGAAAGCGAGAACCGAAAGAGAGCAACTGACCGGGGAAGGATAATTTGGTTTTAAGTATCTGAGGCGATGGAGCGTTCACTATGGAAATGTCCTGAGTGGTCCATTTGAAAGATTATGTTGATGCCATTTTCTGGTTAGGGTGGTGCCAAAAAATAACAAACAATCCTTTGACCTATTGTCACTATGAAAGACATCCCTGCCAGTCTGCTGAACAACCTTTAATGTCTGTGCCTATGTCAGTTTTTGGTGGGTGTCCATGTCCATGCAGGTTTTGCTTGTTTTTCCATTTTTGTATGCTGGATTGAAAAATACTCGGAGAGTTCTCCGATGCTTGGGAAATTGTTTTATAACCTGGTTTAAACATCTCCACGTCTTGCAACACCACCCAGCATGTGTCTTTGTGCCGTAATACTGTTTTCCCTCATTTTTGAACATCACACTGTCCAAAGTCAGCAGTGTTTCCAGTAGCAACACAAGAATCATAGCCGTATCATAACCAGGACTCAGGATGTGACCAGCAGAGGTGAACCAATCTCTTTTCCAGACAGCTGAAACCCATTGCAACAAGCACCTGTTCTACACACACACACACACACACACACACCCCCCCACACACACACACACACACACACACACACACACACACACACACACACCACACACACACACACACACACACACACACACACACACACACACACAAAGGCAAAGGGCTTTTCCACAGGACTGAATCACTCCAATAAAAAATAAAACATAAAAGCATGGAAAAAAGAGAAAACCTTGTGTCCTCATCTGGGTGGCTACAAAGCGGATGGTGGGTGTAGGAAAGTGACAAGTGGATAAAGCATAACAGAGAAAATGCAAAGTGAAATAAAATTACTGTATATTTAAGGGAAATTGGAAAAGAAAAAAGATGTGGGAAAGCAGCTAAACCAGAAGACGTTTAAGAGGGTGCTGACGATTACCACAGGATCGTCCCCTTTTGTCCCCCCACAGGTGTTGAGGCTCTACCACTGCGCCTTTAAAGTGCAACATGGAAGATTTCCAAATAGATGACATCCCTTAAGAGTTCGTTGCCATTTAATCGGCAACTGACCACGTTGCTTACTGTCCTTGCTCTTTGCATTTTGTCCAGATCGCAGTTTGAGTTTTCGCTCCTTCCTGTCTGTGCCATGAAAGAACCGACATGGTGTCGCATTTTGATGCTTATTCACAGCAGCCACTCGAGGAGAGACAGTGTAGGTGGGGACAGAAGCTGCCTCTGCCTGAGCTTCACAGACACTTGTAGGTTTAGAGCGTTCTTTGTCAGAGACCCACTTC